AAATATTACGAATATCAATTATTAATTAATTGTAAATCACGAATGTCCTTTTTTAAAATATGACTCCATGCCATTAGGAGTAGCAGTTACGGTTTCTACAATATTGCGTATTAATTGCCTTGATTATCTGAAAAGATTCCTTTTTTTATTAAACGTGTGATCACAAGGGGTAATAGAGTAACATTGCATGTATATTAAATATCCATCTATATGCATAGGCACGTTTTTAGTCATACGTTGGACATAATTCATTTTCAGTCATACATTGAGAAACTCTCTTCCTTTTAGTCATATAACCGTATTTTTCCCTAATTTTTTTTTACTGGAATCATTTCATATAACTAATAAGTTTACTTTAACAATTTTTCTATCAAAATCTAAACAGCTACATGGAAAATAACATCTAAGGCTTTTTCCCTATTTCATGGTAGATTTTGTAAATTACAAAAAAAAAAAAAGTTATATATATTATAAAGTTTAACTTTATATATATTGTGTGTGTGTAACTAAGAGGTCGCACGTCTGTCTCCAACTATTCTTACCTATACAAATATTAGGCCTAATGTAAGCAATTATGAAACAATTGTGTTGCAACTAATAAAACACTAAAAACTTGGTTAAATTAGAGCATCTACATACACTGGCTAGCTATATACGAAGTAGATTGTAGTTTTGCTTGTCATATCAACTATTTCGAGTTAATTCATTTGCCAACAATGTGATACTCCAACTATTCCTCTACGACTACGAGTAAATGTGGGTTAGTAAACGAGAAACTGCGACCGAGCATATAGTGATTTAGGTCAAATCTATGCAATGCCACGGGAAGAATAGGCATTATATTAGTAATATCAGGGAATATAATGCTTGGTTAACTTATCTTTTGTAGTGTAACATTAGATAGCGATTTCAAAGAGGCAAAATATATAGAAGAAAAGACACCCAAAAAGACATCTCTTATCGACTAATCTATATGAATCAATTTTTTTAACTCGGATGTCAAACCACCCATCGGTAGAGCAAATGCCGGGGAACATTAGTCGAATTTTATTAAATCTATTTTAATCAAGATTTTATTACTCGTACATATATTAATCTTTTCCATTAACTTACATGATTCATGCATGATATAGACTTAACTTTAGACGTCATAAGAAATTATTGCACTTACTCAAGAATACAATTATCTTGTACAGTTCAAAATACTTCTATCAGAAAGGCTACTCTTCAGAGTGCTTTGTGTTGGTTTAATTTTCGTGTATTTCATGTAATATGGGTTGTATGGTCTTCAAATATTGGTGTCTGTATGGACTAACGGGAAAGTAAGCCTAGATATATCTTTATAGAGGTTCTACCTGTATTGTAATTTCTTCGTTCCAATTTTTTATCTCTTTCTTTTTCATTCCATACTCTTGCATTTTCCGTTGACTTGAGGTAATTCGCTTCACTGGTTAACTTTCTAGTTGAGATCAAGAGTGGAAAATTGATACCTCAAAATTTAAGTAAAAACGGTAAAATAGTGCAGCATCTTTTGAAATGTATACCATCTTTACATTGCCAAAGTTTCATTTTTTTCAAACAGTACTTTTTTAAATTTATGTGTTCAATACTTATTATAAGCACTGGAGTTTGGGAGAAAGTCTTGGACGTCGTATTTTTCTAGTTATCATTAATATTAGTGATTTGAAGGGTTAAAAATATACTGCGTATAAAAGCATCTTTTTATACTACGTATCTTCTTGTTGTACCCACTTTTGTACCCACCATGTCTTCATAGACATATTTTTGTCTATGACCGGGATTCACAGGCAAAAAGAAAACTCCTCACAGACATAGTGGGTACAAAAATGGGTACAATAGTGAGTACAAACAGATTTTTCCTTTTTATAAATGAGGTCCCATCTTCACCCGGTAAAATTCGTCGCCTGTGTCATCTATGTATAAAAACTAGAAAACTTAATGAGCTCAAAGAAGTCGCCTCAAACTGAAAAAGCATATCTCAATCAAGATTTCATTACTTATTAGCTTCTCGCTTTACTCACTTGCGAATCATTTCATATAACTTTTTTACTGGAATCATTTCATATACTCCCTCCGTCCCGCTAAAATTGTCTCATTTTACCTTTTTGGGAAGTCCCACTAAGATTGTCTCATATCATATTTGGTAAAGATTGTGTGGCTCTAAATCATTCTAACTTTATTTTTACTTTATCAATTTAATATCAACCACACAAACCTACTTTCCTTAATAATCTTGTCATACCATATTTGGTAAAGATTGTATGGCTCTAAATCATTCTAACTATCAATTTAATATCAACCACACAAACCTACTTTTCTTAATATTTTTAGAAAACTATCAAATAAGCCTCTTACTTTTAAAAACAACTAATTAAGCCCCCAAACTAAGAAAACACTCCAAACACCTAAACTATAAAAACGAAGCAAATTGTCTTTTTAGTCGGTACTATTCTGATTCCCAGTTAAAAGACATTTGTGACATCTGGTTGTGACATTCTTTTTTTATTTTTCTTTTTTTCCTTTGTTCATCCTCATTCTCCTTCCTTTCTTTCTTCTGCTCTCTTAGCTTTCTTGCTTCCTCCCTAAGATCACTTTCTCATTTGAACCTAATTCTATATATATATACATATATATATATAGGAAATCTTTCCGGTAAGGTATACCTTACCGGAGCCGCCGTGCGGCCTCCACGTTTTGAGGGCCTTCCTGATGGAATTTTTTGATGAAATTTTTTGAGCATGTTCATCATCAAGTCTAGTACATCCATACCAAATTTCAACAACAAATTCAATCGGAAAGGCAGCCAAACGATTTTTGGAAGATAACTGTGTTTTATATGTATATAAAGGGTGAAATTATCTTCCAGAAATCATTTGTCTGCCTTCCCGATTGAATTTTTTGCTGAAATTTGGTATGGATGTACTAGACTTGATGAAGAACATGCTCAAAAAATTTCATCAAAAAATTCTACCGGGAAGGCCCTCAAAACGTGGAGGCCGCACGGAGGCTCCGGTAAGGTATACCTTACCGGAAGAGTTCCCTATATATATATATATAGGAGCAAACTCGTAGTGAAGACCTAGGAAACAATTTATAAAGGGAAAATAACTTTAAATAATACGAACTATCTTTCATCAATCAAGAATAATACGTACTTTGGAAATGACTTTTAATAATCCCAACTATTTAAATATAGACCGAAACTGATACGGAGCAATTTTTCAATGAAAATTCAGTCATTTAAATCATCAAAAACTAGTATCAAAATATCAAATAAGTGAATGTATTTCCAAATATAATTTATTTGATAATTTGCTATTGGTTTTTAATGTCTTAAATGACTGGGTTTCTGATCGAAAAGTGACTTCATATTATTTTTCGTTTATACAATTATACTCAAATAGTTGATATTATTAAAAATCATTTTTAAAGTATGTATTATTATGGGTTATGGGTAATAGTTGACATTATTTAAATTTATTTTCCCATTTATAAATGAGAGCTTTCATCTCCACTATCTATAAGAGGTTTCTTATCTAAAATATTACGCTGCTTAAAAACGTAAACAAATCATTTGTGTTTGTTAGATGTAAGGTACTATGCTCGAGTCAAATTTAGTTATGCTTAATCAAGATGTTGGGGTAAATGGCCCAGTCCAAGGCAGGCCCAATACCCCAGTGGATTAACAAATCCGGAAGGCTCGCAAAGGACCAAGGATTTGTATAAATGCAGTGCATGCCGCGCGGTACAGTATTCCTTGTATAAACACCAGATTGTCGGGGATAAGCTCTGGACCGCTACCCCATGATAATTGTCTAAAAAGGGAAGGATTTAGCGGAAAGCACATTTAATGCACCAGATATGGAAGATTTATGATTGGGTGGTTAACCACTCGGAGCTCGCCACGTCACTACTACTATGGTAGTATAAATAGTACTACTACCTATATCCCACTAACATTGGGACAAGAGGGAGTAACACAGTTAATAAGAAAGGAAAGTTTATGTGATTGATATTATATTAATAAAGTAAGAATAAAGTAAAAATAAATTAGAGCCACACAATTTTATAAAATTTGGTATGAGACAATCTTAGTGAAATTTCCCGAAAAGGTACAATGTGACAATCTTAGTGGGACGGAGAGAGTGTAGTATTTATTTCATTGTAAATGTTTGACAACTTGTACTCGATAGCAATAGCTTATCTCCTGACTTAGAATAGAGGTTCATGGCTCAGGCTTGGTAAAAGTGTGTTGTAATCACTAACGTATTTATAGAACTTGGCCCATTTTACCTTTCCTTCTCTTCTTGATATTGTTTGTGCCTCATAATCACTTAGCTAGCCCACTAAAATATAATTGATCCATAAAACTCCAACGAAAACTCATGGGAAGGTGTTGGGCAATTGGCCCGAGGGGAATAAACTTCAACACTATTCTAGTCTAATCTATATAAATGTGGTCTACTATGAGATTGTAATCAATCCAAGTGAAAACAACCTTTGATTTTTAATACATTTGCAACATCTTTGTTATTCAAATAATAATGTTTCATGACTTTTTTATTGCAGTCTAATACCTGTAATATATATAAAAAAAATAGAATTGAACCATGGGAACCGAAACCGAACCAATATCAGTAAACCAAGATTTCGGTCCCAATCCCACCTTCAACAACCTGTGGACCAACTCATTTAGTTTTATACATGTATCTTTTAAGAGTTACTATTGTCCAAATATGTTCTAATTTGGTCTGAATGTCTGATGATCTGATCTAGAGTATTTAAGTCTGAGGTGATCAAATCTAATCTAGGAATGAAATCAGTCCAATTAAAAAACATCATAAGCCTGAAACCATGCCTCACCATAGTGATGTGTGAGCTTATTTGTTACACGAAAAATAAACCCTCCTATGCATCATGGCTTATCTCAAGGCGTAAGCAGCCTCAGTGCAAGTGTCTTTCGAAAACTACTATTCAAATAAAACCATAAAAGGTCAAATGTTATATTTATATGTAATGACGCTGGTATCAAATTGTACATTGAGCTCATCAATTCCAATCTCCGTTCTCATTACAATTTGAAGAAGTCTTTCTTCAGTATTGGGGTTCTGTCAGTAAAATCCCAATATGAGTAAAAAAAGTACAACAAATAAAAGTGCAGGTTCAGTGTATTAAGAGTTCTTATCTTTTACGCTGGTGGATGATGACTTCTTAAACCATGGAATCCAAACTGAAGTTGTCTTCTGGTAGAGTCTATAAGCTTCAGCTCTGTGAGCCTGTTTAATCATTCGTTTCTCTACGAGAATAGTGACATATGCCAAGCACAAGCTGTTTATGAGAGGGCCAAGAAAAACCCAAACACCACCCATACACCATGCGAATATGGCGAGTCCCCACCACCATAGCTGCTCACCAAAGTAGTTTGGATGGCGGGAGTACCGCCACAGACCTGTATCGAGAAGGAGATTTGGAACCTTTTGCTCATTCGAACTTTTGTTTCTGCTGGCAAAATTGTGGAGTTGTGTATCTGCATAATACGCAATTGCGATGCCAGACGAACAAATGGATATGGCAACAAAGTCCCACATGTTCCACGGCTTGTTCTCCGAGTGTACAATGTACATGGGCATGCATATTCCCATTATAAAGACCTGAATGGTTAAAATTACATATACGCCACAAAGTTCACAACTCATAAGTAGGAATCATTTGAAGTTGGTAACAAAACCTAGTACCGATTTGAAATTTTAAACTCCAAAATATTCGTGGGTTACTAATAGTCAAGAAGGATGAGAATGGAGCGGGTTGGGTGGGAGACCTTGGACCCTAAATCCATCACCCAACCCCCAACTCATCGGCATGAGAATTAACACATCCACCTTTGACAAACTACTAGTCGGATACTCAGATACCCACTACTCAATCCTAAATTGGATATAATTCATCCTTGAAAAATCTATTTAAGTTACCTCACTTATATACTATCCATCAAGTGGTGCACAAATGAGAGGGTTTACAAATATGCCCAAGCTGGCCCCTAGACAGATTGCTCCAAACTACCACGTGGATCAGTGGATGGGCACCAATAAACCACCACTAGACCAGTATTTGATACCAAAATAAGTTGAGAATAACTCCTCTCAAGAGAATCCTCACATGACATTTTATGTAATAGACATAAACCTAATGAACAATAAATGATATAGATATACGTGGGATACTCAACACTAATATTAATGAAATTTAGGGTTTAATGCATGAAACATCCATCTGATACATAAATTTTCAACAGAATAGTCCATGATCATCGTGACAAAAAATGTGTTTGACTCGTTTGTGCTAGCCTATAATTAATCATGTAAGTAATACCTTGGAATGAAATATTTAATGGTTGGGGAAACACGTATCTTATTTTTACTATTAAAATTGCACATAAATTTGAAAAGAGACTTAAATACTACTCCGTTTAAAAAACACTAATAATATTAGTATTAGACCTCAAAGATATGGATTAATGCCCAAATATGTGTGTGTGTTTCAGTGTTTGTGTTTGTGTGTGTTTGGAGCATTAAACCTAAATTTGTTATACATACCTCATCAACACATAATCACAGTTGATTAATAGATGTCATCAACAAATCTATCCCAATAGCAACTTAGCCATTGATAAGGATCTCCCTTATAATCGAATTTCATAGATATGGTCATATGAGTCTGTTATTCAAGTTTAATGGTCAAATTACTTCCCTGTCCTGGGACTATGATCAGTAGGTTACCAACCAGGGCCATATGTAGCTCCTCATTGACCTGGTCTGTGTCTCCGCAACTTCCAAAATTTCAGAGGCAATTCAGCGAACAGTTAGACGGCTACAAAAAAGCTTTACCTGCTGAGATAAGTAAACAGCAAAGAAGGACATCCACCACCAATTCTTGCCGTACTTGCGGTTCATATCAGTGAATCGCCAATCCTCCCTGGCGCCCCACTGCCAGTTCTCGCGGCGGAAGTAGCTGTGTGTCAGCCTAATACTCCATACCCACGTCAGCAACACAACCACCAGCGACCTCCAAGCGTTGTAGTCTCCCGACGGGTGGCTCCGGTAGTAGTGCACCAGCAACAGAGGAATCACCGTCCAGTACAAATCAATCATCTGCATACCATTTCAGCCAAAACCGTAATCGACAAAGAATGTTAAAAATCGCCCGAGGAAGGAAATTCTTCAGAAATTTTCGATTTTGAAATTACCCAGTGGCTGGATTGGAAAAGAGCGATGATCCAGAAGAGGAGGTTGACATTCAAAAAGAAGCAAATGTGGGCAAGTAGGAGAGGGTGATGATAGCACCATTCCCAGAGAGTTGATTCTTCTTCACTGTAATGGTGCCGGAGGAAAGAGTGGTAGAAGAGGATTGAGGGAAGCGGTGATAAGAAAGCTACCACGGCTTTCTTGACATTGCTACCAGGAGAAGCCATTGCCTCTTGTCCTCCCTCTTTGTTAAATTTGGGGATAATGTGTAATTAGGAGGAGGTTTTTTTTTAATAAATTTGAGTTTTTAACTGCGCAGTTATCTTCAACTAATGAATGTCTTTCCAATTGAAGTTTTAACTAAAATTTGGTATGAGTAAACTAGACTTAATGAATGAGATGCTCAAAAAATTTCTTCAAAACATTCCACTGGGAACCCCCAAATGGCGACGACCAGACAAAACCTCCTATATAAGAACTTATTTGACCCCTTTTATGCAACTTTGAGGACCAATCTGACCTTTTCTCATAGTTTGACTATTTTACATAGGAAAAATAATGGGTTTAATGCACCATACCCCTCGTGATATAGAAAGTCAGCGCATTAGCTCATGTGATTTGAAAAATGTGTCAAATCCCCTTGTGTTTTAATTAATCATGCACAGAAGCCCTTTTATGAACAAATTTAAAGATTTGAAAATAATTTTTTCTAATATTTCGATTGAATATGCAACTAAATATGTCAAAATCTCTGTAGCACACAAAAATGTTAATCATTTTTCTTTTATTTGGCAATAAATTTGTTCACAGAAGGAATTTGGCGCATAATCAATTAAAATACAAGGGGATTTGATGCGTTTTTTAAATCACAAGGGGCTAATGCGACGAATTTCCATATCACATGAGAGCTTGGTGCATTAAACCCGGGAAATAATTTTTTTTTGCCCCACAAAAACAGGATGAACAACACCCCACCCGATTTAATTGGCTGCCTTAGTAAGCATGTTTTTACTTGGCCTGCTTTCGGTTTCATATCAGACTTAAAAAGATCAAACTAGATCAAATCAAACTTATACAGATCAGACCAAATCAAATTAGACCAAACTTAAATAGTTATAAAATACATAGAGACCAAACATTTACCAGACCAGTTCAGATCAGACCAAACTAGATTTAAACAGATCCGACCAGACCAACAAATTTCAGTCCAAGTAAAAACATCATAATTCATTTTAATTTTACAATGATTTTAATTTCATAAGCAATATTGATACAATTGGAAAGATCATCGGAACAAGTTGTTAAATTTGATATATTTGTTTTTTGAAAATTAGAGTAAATATAAAAAAGTTAGGAAAATTTAACACTAATAATCCAACCTTTACTCAGTCTTCCCAAAACGGTCCCATTTATTAATAATTCAAGAAAAAACCAACCTTTCTATTCTCCCTTCCGTAAACGGTCCCAACGTATTATTTACCGGTTGTTAAAGGGTTTATTAAAAAGTAATACCGGTTAAGGTTTTAATAATACCCTTCACGCTTAACTTCTCCTTCCTTCGCACTTCATCACACCTGGCACCTGCGACTACCTTGTCTAACACCTTCTTCCTCATTTCAAATTCTGGTTCACGCAATCCGCTACTTACGTCGGTGTTTACGACGGCCACGGTGGCCCTGAAGCCTCCAGATTCGTCAATCGCCATCTCTTTACTTATATGCAACGTGAGTGAATTACTTTGATTTGTCTTTTCTCCCCAATATATATCTGTGTGTAATTACATGTGCATCGGTAAGCTAGTAGTTCGCTAGCACTTGGATATGATGGTGCTTCAAGCTTTTGATACCGTGTTTTCTCCCTTTTGTTAGTTTAAGCTCAATGTTTCAACTTCATCCAGGGCTCTGAAAATTCGAGTATTAAGATGGGAGGATTTGATTTTTCTCAACTTATAAGTCTTGAATGATATCTAGCCACTTTTATATCTTATTTGTGTATTCTGTTTTGCTCAGAATTTTCCAGAGAGCAAGGGGGATTGTCAACGGATGTCATTAGAAAGGCTTTTCATGCGACAGAAGAGGATTTCATAGAATTAGTTAAGACATCTTTGCCAGTAATGCCACAGATTGCTTCAGTTGGATCTTGCTGCCTTATGGGTGCGATTTCTGATGGTCAATTGTATGTGGCTAATTTAGGGGACTCAAGAGCAGTTCTGGGAGAAAAGTTGAAGAAGTTGCAAGTGAAAAATAAAAAATTGAAAGAAGAAGTGAATTGAAACAGATGAAAATTGAAGCTGAAGAAATGTTGATTGAATACTTCAAGTGTTTAGGCAACGAGAAGAATATCGCATTGGGCTAATGTTGTCATGGCTTTTTTTTTCTGTTGTATATTTGTTCTTCAAATGATGTTGTAGTTGGTGTTGGTTTAGTATCCACTAGTATGTATAATATATTGATGTTGTAGTTGGTGTTGGTTTAGAATTTTGTCCCCAAAATGCATGTGGTATGTATTACCAGATCGTCAGAATGGTGCAAAATATTACAAACCCATGAAGCACAAAATCATCTACCTAAACATCATATAACAAACTGCAATGGTGCCCAAATCCTAAGTACTGATATCACAAACTGAAATTGCTGTCTAAACCGGAAGTTTGACTTAGTTGACATATGTTGGACCCTGAAGTTGATACTTCTGCCAAATTTATTGGTCCTCCTGACCGGCCTGGAACCTGAAAAAGACAATGACAACATATAAGAAACACAAATTACATACACAACCAAACTGGAGTATAATTATACATTACATGTGTATATGTGGACCCATCATTAGCAACAAATACCCCAAATCCCTCTGGCACCTGCAAAAAGAACTCATGAGTGTTAAATTAAAATACCCCAAACAACCCCAAAACCCCATAAAAAAATAGAATACCTTATTTTTATCCCCCCCTCTGCCTATTCCTCCTCGGGATCCCCTTCCTCCTCTAGATCCTCTTCCTCCTCTAATGACTCTCCCTCCTCTTCCCAGTCTACTTGGTTCGGCTGTGGCTGAATTGTGGCTAAGGGGTTCAATTGTAGGTGTATAAGCTTGAGGAGCTTTTACATCATTTCTTGGTCGACCCCTGGGTCTCTTCGGTTGAGGCTCTTTGACAATAGCCTTGTCTCTATTTGGACATCTTCTCTTATTGTGCCCTTTAATTTGACAAACACTACAGGTCATCTCCATACCATGTCTAGTAAGCTTACCACTTTTTTTAGGGTCTTCAAATGGATCTTTTTTTCTGTTCCGTCTCGGTCTGCCAGGACCAATTTTTATTGGAGGGGGATACAATGGACAGTCTATCCGTGGCCAATGCCTCTCACCTTCACAAGGGGGAATAGATCCAGAATATGCCCTTAAATAATTCTCCCTCTTATAACAGCTTTCAACAAAATCCTCTGCCTCTTGATGTAGGAAAAAAATGCACGCTATAGCATGACAACATGGTATACCCATACCAAATTACATGCAATGGAGGGAGGGAGGGGCGGGGGTGATGTTCACCGTTCTTATGAAATGGGTGAACCCTTTAGAGAGGGTGAACAAATCGACTCCTACATAAACGTATAACAAATACTATCATAACTCCTTTTTAATTAGTCATATTTGATTTTTTCTAATCAAATAAAAAAAATTGATTCATTATTTTAAGTAATAGAGAGTAGTGTAACAAAGCATTTCAGTCCAGCTGGTTGTGAAGTTACCGTGCCTAGTGGGAGGTCTCGAGTTCGAAAACCGCTAGACACATAAGGGTTTGAAACTCAATGGTGTGAGTTTCAGCCCTGATTACTCCAGGCCCCCCCAGCTCCCCTCCCCCAGACCCCTCTGGAGTAAAAAAAATCACCTAACTAGGAGTAAAAGGTAGTAAAAAATCACAAACATAATTACATTGTTTTAAATTCCCTAGTACGACTATTTATTTGTGTTTGGACATATTTACCCATGTAACTTTTTGGAGTAAAATAAATATTTAATAAAATTAATAAAAAAAATACAAAAATAATAATTACGTAGTGTAAATTAAAAATAAAAAATAGAAAAATAATGAAAATTAAAAAAATTAAATCAAGAACTTAAAAAAATACAACTCCCATTTTCCACCCCCAGCACCACCAACTAGGGGTGGGCACGGTTCAAGTCGGTCCGGGTAATTGATAAATTTTTAATTTTTAATAACCGCCGGTTCCATTTAACGGTAGGTTCGGTTGGGGTCTACCAAGTCTCAAAATAGGAATCCGACCTTACCCACCCCGTTTGAAACGGGACGGATTGGTTTGAATCCCCGGTTCTTTTTTCTTGTAAAAAAATACGAATACGCTAGCAAAGTTTCTAATTAGATATAAAAATTCTCAAATTAATTAAGTTTTAATGTAACCATAACATAGTAAAACTTTAAAATAAAAATATAAAAAACGATAGGGATCTCTTTACTTTGACTTTCCAAAGTGGTTTTGTCCAAGGAGCGGCGATGTTTTCACCCTCCACATAGCCGACGGTGAAGGAGCTTGGGCGAGCGCCCACGCTTATGTAGAGAGTGGTGCACGGATTTCTTCAGATTTCGGCAATTGAGGGTCTGAGGTCTGATGTTCTAGACAAAGAAATCCGACATCTACGCATTCGGAGTTGTGCTTATGTTAAATAATAAATTATTTAACCATAAATCTATAAATTAAATAGGACAAAACCACCTAAATTAAAATATGTTAATCATCATTCATAAACTTAAAAAATAGCACTATAAAATGATAAGAAATTAAACTACTTACTCTACGTATTTGTCTATGAAAACTATGTAAAGCTTATTAAATTTCAAAGTATAAGAAAAATTAAGATTATTAAATGAATAATATGCACACTTCATTGAGTAACATGCTTTATTTACAAAAAACAAAATGAAGAAAGAAAACTTGATGCATTTGGAATAAAGAATTGAGGAAAATATTTAGGAGTTTATATGAACTTGGAAACTCTTTTAAATTGATTGACAAGTTTCTTTAATTGAGTGTCTAAGAACATGAAGAGCTATCGCGTGTCATTAGTATATTATACTCCGTATTAAATATAATAGAGTATTAAAATAATATTTTAAAACGGTTCTGTTCGGGTACCCGTTTTTTCAAATTTTTAGACCCGTTCAGTTTCTACAATTAAGACCCGGTCCTAACCCGTCACGAACTTGTATTACCCGGCCCTACCCGTGGTTCCTGTACCTGTTTGCCCACCCCTACCACCAACTCTAATCTCGAGAAAAAATTGTCAACATGCATTAGTAATTTCATATTGATGGCAGTTCCAATTAAAATTTTGACAATACCAAAGAGTAATAATGTCGTTTTTTGGCATTTTTAGAAAAAATGACATTTGTTTTATAAAAATACTCCTTCTATCCCTTATAACTTTCCTTTTTTGGATGTCCCATTACTTTGCCACTTTCCCTTTTCAGTAAAAAAATTGTGATTCCAGTTAATTCTCTCTCCTCTGCACAAACCTCAACTACACAGTTTTTACTTTATTAATTCTCTTGCCGGTCAAACTTGGCAAAGTTATTAGGGATGGAGGGAGTAACATTCTTTTCACCGATCGGAGGCGGTGGTGCTGGGAGGCGGTAGAGGCAGTGGGTAAGGGATTCATGTTTTTTTCCAATCTTTTTAATTTTTATTTTAAAAATATTTTATTAGTTTGTTATTTTTTTATGATGTTTTTTTTTTTGCAATTTTATTATAAATTGAAACTTTTCATTATTAATTTTTTTTTTGCAAAATTTTCATTATTAATTAATACCCTTAGAGCATATAGAGTAGAAAATTAATGTATAATCCAATGATTTAGAGTTTAAGTCTCATTTGACTTAAGAACGTGCAGTGGACTACAAATACAGAGTAGTAAATAAAAATGGGCTAAAGGGTCAAATAGGTACATGAACTAACTTAAAGTGTTCAATTAGCCCCTTAGAGCATCTTTAGTGGGAGTATCAATTGTTTAAAAGTGCACTGCCACATCACATAAATAGACATTGAGGTTAAATAACATTCTCCAATGCAAATGTGAATACACAATCTCCCGCTGAGTTGGAGCGGAACGTGTCACACGATGTCCGCTGCTCTTGCTACTTTCAGAAGGCCTTTCTCACGGCCAAGTCATCAAAAATCCTATTCACGCCGGATGCTTTGCTTATATTACTCATTATATTAATAATAATAATAATAATAATAAATCATCTTACATAGTTATCACGCACTCCCACTTTCATATAAAACCAAGATAAAATCCAATTACATAATCCACTACTCTTTCATTCCAATTCAACATTAGCAAATAATAACCTACGAGTTTTTTATTTGGCTAGAGTACGTATTTCAATAAGAGTTATATACCAAATAAAGAGTAATAGCATACTGCAATTTTTTAGTTCAGCAATATATGGCGTATTGGCGTATGAACAATTAAATTCATGACACCATTGGAGCTTAAATATTATTTTAAATGTGTGTCTATCCACATCAGCTTCATGGACCGTCCACATTAATGATATGTCCATTTTTTATGGGATGCAATCCACGTTACCATTAAAGATGCTCTTATATAGGAGGTTCTGCCCGGCCGTCGCCAATTGGGGTGGTTCCCGGTGGAATTATTTGATGAAATTTTTTGAGCATCTTCTTCATTAAGTCTAGTTTACTCATACCAAATTTCAGCTAAAAATTCTACCCGGAAGGCAGTCAATTGATTTTTTGAAGATAACTGCGCAGTTAAACAGCACAGTACATTTCGGAAAATCATTTGACTGCCTTCCCGATTGAATTTTTAGCTGCAATTTGGTATGGATAAAGACTTAATGAAGAAGATGCTCAAAAAATTTCATCAAAAAATTCCACCGGGAACCGCCCCAATTGGCGACGGCCAGGCAGAACCTCCTATATAAGGGGCTAATTGAACATTTTAAGTTAGTTCATGTACCTATTTTAAGTTAGTTCATGTACCTATTAGGCCAATAAAAATGGTCTTACACGCATACACTACGTCACTACGTATGATATATCTTGACTTATATGCGTAATTGCGTAAAAACTGGATCGAGAATGGAGAATTTAGTCTCAAGTAGATCTTACCAAAGTGAGGTCTGTGACAAAAAAGATACAAAAGAAGAAAAAAAAAAGAGGACAGAGAGGGTGGAACGGATCGTCGCCAGAGGAAGAAGGACCACGTCCCTGTATTTTCCGGGAGAAGAAGGTCGCCGAACCACCATCTAACAGGCCATTCCCACCGCTCTCCGTCGTCTCCTGCAGTCGGAAGAGGAAGTCGCCGCTCCAACGACGAAGACGATACGTATGTGTTCTTCGCCCGGTTAGTTTTACGCCTGTGACTAATTTCTTTTGAGCTGCTTCTTGTATTGGGTGGGCCGAGTTTTTAAAAAATTGAAAGGAAATGTTGGGCTGCCTGGTTTACTAATGAATAAAGGGTAGCCCCAAATTACTTAAATAAATATTAATTAAATTAACTCAAATAATCTTCCAAAAAAAAACTCAAATAACAATATACCACTCAATTGTATACTAAGGGTCTGTTTGCAACAGCTTCTGCTTTCAAAAAAGTGCTTTTTTTAATGAAATGAGGAGAAGTGATTAAATAAAAGTTGATAGTGTTTGAGAAAAAAGTGATTTTGAAAAGTAAAAGTTGAAAGTGTTTGGTAAAATAAGTACTTTTTGTGTAATAGAAAAAGTAAAAGCACTTTTGACACGAAAGCCGAGAAAAATAAAAGTTGCAGTGTTTGGTAAAAGAAGTGCTTTTTTAAAGCCAAAAGGTGAGAAATGTTTTTTCAAAAGTGGTTGCAAACCAACTCTAAATAGCAGGTACACACATAGCTTAGTTGTAATGGAATCCTTCTTGTCTTTGACTTCAAGCATACGTTAGTTTTGGCAGCTATTTCAACTCAAGGGCAATTGTGATGGGCAGCTAGTCCTATTGTATCATCTATCGTCTAGCCACTGCAATACCCAAAACATTACCCATGCTTTCCTGCCGCCTAATTAAAGCACTCAAACCTTCTGCTATTACAATGAATAGGTACGGCGATAAAGGATCCCCTTGTCGAAGTCCTCTTGTCGGCGTAATTGGCCCAATCATATCTCCTTCAAAGGGGATATAGTACTCCACCGAGGAACAACATGCCAAAATCAAATTAATCCATTTGGGATCGAAGTTCATGCTTTGCATAATTCTTCTTAAATATCCCCATTCAACTCGGTCATATGCTTTACTCATGTCAAGTTTAAGAGCTACAAAACCATCCCTGCCTTGCCTTTTTGTTTCAAAAAATGAAGAGTTTCAAAGGCTACCATAATATTATCTACTATTGAACGACCCGGAATAAAAGCACTTTGATTAGCAGACACAAGATGGTTCAACACTCTCTTTAGTCTATTGGCTAAGACTTTTGTAAAGATTTTAATAAGCACATTACACAGCGCGATTGGTCGCCAATCACCTAACGTCTCAGGCCTTTCTTTTTTAGGGATCAAAACAATATGAGTGCTAATTAACTTCCTTCGGTATTAT